GGGGAATCGCTGGGGTATGAGTTGGGGAAGAAGACGTGGGTTATATTTTTTTTCTTTAGTTTGGCAAGAAAATAGTTAAAAAGGGGAAAAATAAAATAAAAAACTTAATTTCAGATAGATTTTGTAGTTTTCACGCGCCTCTTGTATGTGTAATACACGCATGTGATACATGACAAAAGAGGTGTGTAATTGACATACTTTTAAAAGTTTTGGTGTGTCCCATATTTAACATGTGTGTAAGAAAGATTTAAGTACAAGGTCGATGGATAAAATATATATTTTGCCTAAAATTAATAGTAAAAAGAAAAAGGAGGACGTAGCTTGACAAATTAAATGCCCTACTAAATATGGAACGAAACTATGAAACAAACCAAAGAGTAAAGAAAGTTAAAAGAGAATTGGCTTGCACATTAACAAAATAATCTATATTATATTAAAAGGAGAGTAGTGAAGCATGTGATTAAGTCAAGTGGCAAGCTAAAATGAAGCCATTTGGCAATTTTAAGACAACATTAAAAATTTGAATTATAAATAAAAACATATTTAATAGAAGTAGTAGTCCAAGATTTTCTATAAGTGAATTTCATTCTTGAAGACCTAAAAACATTTGTGTATAATTCAGTTATGCAAATGGAAGGACACAATCTATGCAAATGCAAATGAAAGACCTAAGCTATTAAGTGAATTTCATTCTTTAATGGAAGGATGCAATCTATATTAAGCAAACCAATATACTATAATTCTAGGTATTTTTAATTAAATTTGTGTATAATTCAGTTATGGTAGGTATCCTTTTTTGAGAAAGAATCAATTAAAATTTTGCTTTGTACCTTACACATTAATTTTAAGTTGAAATAATAATTCTATATTTAGTACAAGCTTTGTATCTGACTTTATTTGCGAACAATATACATTAATATAGGTATCATATGCATTATTATAGGTATCTTTAATTAAATTTTGTGTATAACTCAGCTATAGTAGGTATTCTTTTTTAAGAAAAAAATAATTAAATAAATATTTTTATCTTACATCTATATTATATTAAAAGAAATAGACAAAACAATTAAGAAAGAATTAATAATTAAACTAAAAATGTTTTCTTTTTAATGACCAAAGTACAATTTTTTGGACGTACACAAAAAAAGGATGCAATTTTCATTAAGCAAACCAATATATTATAATTATAGGTATCTTTAATTAAATTTGTGTATAATTTAGTTATGGTAGGTATCCTTTTTTGAGCAAGAATCAATTAAAATTTCGTTGAAAATCTTACACATTAATTTTAAGTTGAAATAATAATTCTTTATTTAGTACAAGTTTTGTATCTAACCTTATTTGTGAATAATATACATTATTATAGGTATCTTTAATTAAATTTTATGTATAATTAAGTTATATTAGGTATTCTTTTTTAAGAAAATAATAATTAAATAAACGTTTTATATCTTACATCTATATTATATTAAAGGAAATAGAATTAAAAAATGAACAGGAAGACATATGAAAAATACTAGACAAAATTAAGGCTTGGTGGTTAACAAATTTTAATTAACCACAAAAAAACGTTGAAAATAAATATAAAAAAAAAAGCCAAAAGCTAAAAAATTAAGATCCGTATCATTTCTTGCGCACTTACTCATATAAATTGATTTACACATACCTTTTTAAAATATTAGGATTTCATATACTTAAAAATTAATTTACTATGATAATTTTTCCTTAGAAATCCTTATTTATGAAACTTTTTCTTAGGTTTGGCTTCTCTACATTGCTTAGGGTTTAGTTTCCACACAAACTTCTACAAAGTATGGCTCCAAACTATAACTATATCAGCGAAATATCAGTATCCAAAATGAGTTGGAATTTGAAGGTTCGTGTTGTTAGATTGTGGCACGTTCCAGACCGCGAGAAACCAGAAAATTCTAATTCAATTGAATTAATTATTCAAGATGAAAATGTGCATACTCTTTTACATGTTATTTTTTTCGAGTTATGCTGTATTTTCTTCAACTTATGCGCCTTGCTAACTTAAATTTCTTTTCAATTTTTTGATTTAGGGAGATCAAATTCATTCAACTATTGGAAGAGTTGTTATACATATTTTTAAAACAAAAATATATGAAATGAGATTGTATGTTATGAAAAACTTTGTGGTTGGACCAAACAATCTGAAAATTAAGACCAACAAGCATAAATTGAAACTGACATTTTCTCATAGGATGAGTGTGGATGAAATTAGTGATCCACAGTTTGTTTGAATATCTTCAACTTTAAGCCTTATGAGCATCTCACAAATCAACTTGAGGTTGATGAGAATAAACTATACGGTAATTGTTTTAGCTTTCGCTATTTTTTGTTGAATATTTTATCACCTTATTTATAACTATTTATTTAAATACGACAGATATCATAGGAGAAGTTATTGGTCATGGTAACGTAGAATCGTACAATCAAGGTGGTAAAACAAGTACCTTTATGAACTTGGAGCTTGAGGATCATGAGTACGCTTGCAACCATGAATTGAATTAGTTATAGATTCAATTACTATTATTTTCTCATTATTAATTTGTGTATTTACATATAGGAGGAACAATATTTCAGCAACATTTTGGGGAGAATTTGCAGATGAAATCTTGCCCCACTTGGATGGATTACCCAATTAACCTGTCATAGTGGTTATGCAGCTCATAAAAGCTCACATCAAACAAATTTTATAGTATTATAAAAGCTCATATCAAATAAATTGTATAGTATCACTATTTTTATAGAACATTTATTAGGAGATGGAATGAAAGTTTTACTGGAGTCTTAATATGTTTTTAATGTTTGGTTGTAAAGATAGTATTAACACTAACATATTAAACTTTACGGTGTAGATCGTTCTTTTTAATTATCCGCGCATCACGCGGGGTACTAATACTAGTTGTATATTAGCATGTAAAGTGGTGAGGTGTTACTTTTGTCACCTACCAGAAGCACTATCTACCAACTAAAATATTATATTAAGGAGTCGTTTGGTAGGGTGCATAAGAATAATGCCGAATAGGGTGTATTAGTAATGTTGGTATTAGTTATGCTGATATTAGTTATGTTGACATATTTCTTATCCATTGTTTGGTTTGATGTATTAAAGCATTGCACAATTTCTAAAAGAATTGTTTATTTACAAAAATGCCCTCAAAACTAGTTCACACTCTAACTTTTTAAAAGAAATATATATTGAGAAATTTTTTTATATGAAAAAGTTTACAAAAAATTATTTGATTTGTCTACCTATATTGTAAAATAAAATTAAATATTTATTTATAAAAAAGAAAATATGCTAAGTATTTATTTATTTACTAGGGATATAATTTTATTTCTCACTATTTGGATTATTTTGAACTTCCATTAATATACTAACTAGCATATTTTAATCAAACATAAATTTTGAAGGACAATTTTGTCTTTAACTAAGCAAATGCATGCATTAAAACTCATTGCATTGCTAATACCATTGTTTTCTATGCATTAGTTATGAACTAATGCATAGGATAATACCAAATAAGATGTATAGCTAATGCTTGCATAACTAATGCATAAGTTCAAAATGTGTACCAAACAATGTATTATTAATACACAAAGCTAATGCATGCATTATTTTATCTAATGCATCCTACCAAACGACCCCTAAGAGATAATTTCAGTTTTGTTCACTCCTTTAGGACTAGTTTGGTACGAGGGATAAAGGATAATAAATTTCGGGATTACATTTAAGATAATTTTGTCCCACATTTGATTAGAAATAAAATCGCGAAATAGCTAATCACGAAATTTATCCCGGATGTAGTGTTATTTTCATCCCTATGGGAGGATGAGATAACTAATTCCAAAATAATTAATCACCGGATAACTTGTTTACCAACCAAGCGACCACTTATTAGTTTCTTTTAACTCTTTAGTGTTTTCCTATTTTAGTAGTTCTCATAAGTCATAATAAAACGTTAAACATTTAAATTTTCAATTAATTAAAAGAAGTAATGTTGATTCCTTTATATAGAAAGTACGTTATATTTGTGCTATTCTTATATAAAATTATCCTTTTTAGTAAAAAAATAAAATTAATGCTGAAAAAGAAGTACCAAGTTAAACAAAAGTCGTTGCATGGTGTAATATGTTATTGTGACAAGGTCCTATTTGCCCATAAAAAAGATTTCCTTCTTCAAAAAAAAAAAAAAATTAAAAATATGTTTGTTCATACAATTTTGTAAGTTTTTGAAAAAAGTTCGAAAATGAGTTTTTCAAAAATCAATAAGTGGTTTTGACCACTTTTTCAATTTTTTTTCTCATCTCACAAAATTGCAATATTTTTTCAAATGAAATGTATGTCCAAACATAATTTCAAATTCATGTTTCAACTTAACTCCAAATACAACTTTTTTTTAAAAAAAAATTAGAATTTCATGTCCAAACGCCTATTTTGTAATGTTTTATTTAATTTGTAAGAATTTCAAGTTGAGATTTTAATTTAATTGAATGTTAAATATGCCCAATCTAACACTACAGTGAAGAAAGAAAAAAATAAAATAAAATCAGAAGGACCTAAAAAATAAAAATTTCCCTATTAATAGAAACAAAAAATTGTAGGGGAGGAGAGGGAGCCCAACCGTATTTGGCGTGAATAACCACGGAGTCGTTAAAGACGACCCAAGTAGGAAAGGAAAGGAAAGACTAATAAATTCAACGCTCTCTTTAGTCAGTCTTGTGAAGTCGTCTCTCTTTTTTTTCTCCTCGCTACGGCTCCTTTTCATTCGTAAATTTATTTAACCCAAAATTGGCCATTGCTCTTTCTCTGCTACTCCTGTTATTCCCAGCAGATTTTCCCCGTTGAACCCATAATTCTGCTGGAAATTAGGTTCGCTTTCTTTATTTAGTAGATATAGCTTTTCTATACTTTGTTTTACGTTTCTTTGAGTTTCTTGCGATTGAATTTTAGTAACCCTTGTTTTACAAGTGAAGTTGAAGTATTACATATAAGTTGGTGATCGTTTTCGTTTTGATGATCACAAGAAACTTTGCCATCTGTTTGTCAGAGCAGTGTGTTTACTCTGTTGTTCATGCACCCATAATTCTATATTTATCCCAATTATTTCATGGAAAAGGCAAATTTTTAATTATTTCCTGGTTTTAAAATTATCAAAGAGGGTTTTTTGTTGAAAGACTCACATGCAATGCCTATCAAGTGTTGCTTCTGTTGTTGCAAAAAATTTTGGCATTCATGTCCAGACAAGTAAAACTAGCCTCAGTGAAGCATGTTATAGATCATGAAATTTTTTGAGGATCAGTTGTATAGGAAAATCATTCTTCTTCCCTTAAAATTTCTATCAGAGCAAAACAGACTTGACATATCTATGTTACAACAACAAAAAACAACGCCTCAGTCCCAAACAAGTTGGGTATCTATCTTACTTATTGAAAAATAATTGACATGAAGATATGATTGGAAGATAATGAATTTGACAAAATAATTACTCTCAAATTATCTCTTAATTTTTTTAATAGAAAAACTGAAATTCAATGTCTAGTACCTAGCTATGTGAATATAACTTCTACTTCAAGGGGAATTTATGTTACTTAACAACTAGACATTCGTTTTTTTAGTATTGGAAGGGAAAGCGAACTTAGAGTGGAAGTTCTAAGAAGAGCAGTAACCTATTCCATAATGAATCTAATTTTATGGTAAAAAAGTTAACTTATGGTAAGTCTTATCTTATCCAAAAAAAGAAAACTCAACTTATGGTTTTCTCTTGGTACACGTTTTTCTTTCCTAAAGAAAATTATAATTTGAATGCATTGTAATAGATTCCCAGCAGTGTGGAAGTATTTGAGCAAAAGTATACAGATCTATCTGTCTCAGGAGATGAATACATGTTCACTTAATCATCTCTGTTGCTTATGCAGTTTTTTCAGTTGTCTCAGTATGCTTTTGTCTGAAAACCTTGGTTCACTGAGGATGGTAGTTTTTCAGTTTCCTCCTGCAGTCTTGGAAATCTGCTATTTGCTTTACTAAGTTGCATTAAGTAATCCTGCTTACTTTAGAAATTTGTTTCGGTACTCGTCAAACTTTTATTTGTTTGTTAGATTTTGTAGTTTCTGTTGACAAAGAGTTGTGAAGTCATTTTGCACCTTTTTTCTTTAAGCTGTCAAGCTTCGTGACAATTTTTTTTTCATTAAAATGCTGTTGATTTCCTCTTGCAGGTTGAGTATCTGAGGGATGGAGACTTTTGAAAAAGATGATATGCCGATGTTATCACCATCATTTCCGCAGTCCGATGAAAATGATGGCTTTCAAAATCGACGTTTTACGTACAGGACAAGGAGTGCATCCTTATCAATGCCAACGAGCTCTATGGATTCCTTTGGAAATGATAGTAGTTTTGTAGGCTATACCGGTCCTTTGAGAAGTGAGGGGCGAACTTCATTGGTTCATATGAGCGGGCCATTATATATTAGTCGCAAGCCTGAGAATAGCTTTCGGCCCACTCCCGCTGCAGTAGTGCACAAACCATCTCTGCCTGCAACAGAAAAATATCCTTCAATTGGCAGTGCAGAACGAAATGGTTGGCCTAATAATGACTACACTGGAAAAAATGAACATCTATTGAAGTCTGGACAACTGGGCATGTGCAGTGATCCTTACTGCACAACATGCCCAACCTATTACCATTTGAAAGCACGGGAAAAAAATTCAAAGTCTTCAGATATAATAGATCACAGGGTATTGCACTTTGCTCAAGCTAAATGTATGTCTTCCTAGCTATGTGCTATTATGTGATTTTTTTCAGTGTCTGGATTCTAGCTTTATCTACCATGCACACTATTTTCAAAATGTGCATTTTGTTTTTCATCTCACATAGTCAGAATTTCAGCTTTGACCACGTGTAGGGAGTTTCTACTTTTTATGGGCTTTCATTTTTGGTAAACTACTTTGCATGGCCAATCAAGTTTCCCTGTTTATGCATTCAAGTTGATGATAATGGTGAATCCATAATGCTCAAACTTTGATGTTATCCTTGCTTATGGTTTTTGCAATTACAAGAGCTTTGTGGTTTCCATTTCCAATATCAGTGATCTTTTCCATGTCTCAAATAAGATTTATAATCTGTATTCAGTGTAAACCATTTGTAAGTTCAATTGTATCTTTGTCCCTTTGTTCACCTATTATCCTTGTGCCTGAATATTTAAAGAATTTATTTCCGACGAGTACACGGTGCCTCTTATGTCAATGGTAGATAACTATATGTCTGTGATCCGCAGATATTAAAAGATGACAATGATGATTATATCATATGGTTGACTAGCAGTTCCAATACTAAAATACTTTACCCTTCCTCCCATTCTGTCTTTGCTTATGCTGATTATAGTTCTTTCTGGGCTTAGTGCGAATGTTGAAACATGGAAGATGTTCTAGTACCTTCCCGCAATGGTTCTCGAGGTGTTATAAGAATAACAAGGGATTGTGAAGTCCCCAGAAATAGATGAGTAAAAGTATACTGAAGCATAAGATCTTTCGTCAAAAAGTGGTCTAAGCTTCTTCCATTTATGTTTCTATAGTTATGATGAGTCTTGAGTAATAATGGTTGCCTCCTCAAAGTTAGTTGAGGCTCTGAGCACATGGTGTTCCATGTCATTTCCTGAAAAGGAAATAAAAGAGAGTAATAGAGTAGTTATGTCCTTTCTTCTTCTTCTCTCTTTTTTATTGTCGCTTTTTCTGGATTTGCTTTGTTATAGGTACTTCAGATGTTGCTCTTAGATACTTTTATCTCATTTCCAATGAATTTCAAAGGATGCACTGGATTTTAAGCTGTCTAACTTCTCACTTTTTTGCTCTTATTGTGCTCTACAGTTCCATAATATGCTGTATGGAGATGCAAAAGGATGGGCAAAGAGAACTTGTTCTTTCTTGCATCCATATATTCCTGGTGTCATGAATCCTCATGCGAAGATTGTCCAGAAGTGGAACAAATTTTTTGTCATCTCATGCCTATTTGCAGTATTTATAGATCCCCTGTTCTTCTTTTTGCTTTATGTCCAACAGGTATTCTTTTGAAGTTCTATGAAAGTGAAATCACTTTCCCTTCTATTATTTGGTTATGTAGGATAAATCATACATATTTTTGTGTAAACTGTCACTTGTGCTACTTTACTTAGACCTGGGTGCATGCAGCGTATTTCCATACTGCACATTATTTGACATGTTTTTACCTGGATAAGAAAGAATCAAGTCATTCTGTCTCTCACCTACTAAGTTTTACTACTATCTAAGATGTGCAAATTCATTTCTCTCAAAGTAGGAAGTGAATAGATCGGTGAAGAGATGATAGCTTAATTAAGATAATGAAAGTATGTCCTTCTGAATTTTAGTGAGCATGACAGGCATACACAAATATGTAAAATGATCACTCCATCACCTTGTGCATACTGAAATTAAAGTATCCTTTCTGTATTTTTGCTTTATGGGAGCTTTCTATTCTAGAAACTGTGAAGGAACCAAAGCTCCTATAATTGCCATGCATAATAAAGAACATAACTTTCATGCAATATCAATATTCCCCCCATGGCCCTAGGATGCAGATGACCTATCAATTATAAAGACTACAAAAGGTTTGCGCTGAAATAAATGAACAGTATTTACTAGCTATGTAAGATGGGTTTTTCATTCCAATACTTAAACAAGATCATGCCGTGGAAAATCTAATTCAGTCTAGAGTAGGCCACTCCGAGCTCAAGAACATCGAGCTGCTTTGTTATGCCTGAGATGAATGACCATTATCTCTTCAACTGAAGTTATTCTCGGAGGTTTTATGTTTTCAGGATAAGAGTTTAAACTGTTAAAGCAGAATTCATATGCTTTTGTAGGCATGTTGTGATCTTGAGACCTTCCACTCCTTTAAATTTTTGTTCATACAAGACATTCCTTTCTTTCTATGGATCTTGAATCTAAAATATTTGTTGTTGTTAGGTATTTACATGGAAATTTACACTCTGTCTTTCTCATTGGAATTTTTCCATAGTGCCAGAATCTTCTGTGTATGGTAAACAAGGTTTACAATTGAATAAGTTTTCTCTAAAGATCAATCTTCTTGTTTTGTTTCTAGGGAAACAAATGTATAGTACTAAATTGGCCCATGACAACAACTATTGTGATTTTGAGGAGCATCACTGATATCGTTTACTTAGTTCACATCCTTCTTCAGGTAACAGTTCCCACTTCTCTCTGCAGAATCCTCTTTTCTTTCTGATTAGCAACAGTAATATTTATCTGTGCAATATTCTTTGTGCACCATTTGAGCTGTCATCTGGTGCTCTTCTTTTCCTGGTCACCTGTCAGCATAACTGGCCTTTTGGTTATTTCGTTGATTTTTTAATATATATACTGTCTCTCCAGAATGATACTTCTAGATTGACATTTTTATTCTTCTGCAGATTAAAGCTAATCTAAAAGTTTTTATTGGCACCTCAACTGCATCCAATTTAATGCTTAGTTAATTCAATGAGCCAACCAACTAGTTAATAGATTTTCAAAAGCTGGTTGACCTTACTCTCGTACTCCCACTTTCCTGCATAGAGACAAGTGAGAGACTTACTTTTGTTCATCTTGTCTATTATTTCAATAATGTGTGGGTACGTGATGCCAACCTTTTGCAGTTCCGCTTAGCTTATGTTGCTCCTGAATCTAGGGTGGTGGGAGCAGGTGACCTGGTTGACCACCCTAAAAAGATTGCTATAAATTATCTTTCTGGATACTTTGTCCATGACTTCTTCATCGTACTACCACTTCCTCAGGTAAATGTGCCTTCCTTCTCTTCTGTTTCTCTAACCTACATTTCTGTGTACTCCATAATTCAGATACACTAGGACTCAATACTGATAGAATTAGTAATGGCACCCACTTTTTAACTGGTTGTAGTAGGACAACCTTATGTTGATTTTATCGTACCCAACCTGTAGGAGTTAAGTTTTTAGTAATGTTAATTCCCTTGTTGCCTTCTCTGGCACTTCTTGGTTTTGGAGGTATAATTAATATATTTGCTATGTGCAGATCATCATATTATTGGTTTTGCCCAAGTCTATTGCATCATCTGGGGCAAATTACGCGAAGAATCTATTGAGGGCAGCTATACTACTCCAGTATATTCCTAGGTTGTACAGGTTTTTGCCTTTGCTAGCTGGCCAGTCTCCAAGTGGTTTTATATTTGAGTCAGCATGGGCAAATTTTGTCATAAATCTTCTCACTTTTGTTCTATCGAGCCATGTGGTGGGATCATGCTGGTATCTTTTTGGTTTACAGGTGAAAACTTGTTCTTCACCGTGCTTAGTTGTTCTGTTCCTTCAATTTAATTATGTCTTTTGTTGATGATATAGCCATTACTTTTACTTCTTATTACACTTCTGAGGGTAGAGGGGTTTGCGAGAATGCGTGAAACAAATATGTTGAAAATTTTTAAGTGCTTTCTACCAGTTGCCTTGTCCTTGTTTCCAAAATCATACTCGGAATTAACTTTTTTCCTTCCATCTCTAGAGGGTGAATCAATGCCTTCGAGATGCTTGTCGTAGCTCAAACATAGCAAGATGTACGGAATTCATAGACTGTGGTCATGGCACCGATTTCAGAAAGTTTCGGTCGGATACAACATGGGACCAGTGGAAGAACAATTCTGATGCAGTTACTTGTTTTACTAATGGTGGTTTTGACTATGGAATTTATGAACAAGCTGTTAATCTAACCGCTGAAGGGAGTGTTGTCACAAGATATGTGTACTCATTGTTTTGGGGCTTCCAGGTATCTTAACCCAGCATTCATGGTTGTGAGTGTACGATTTGCGTATTTCTAATACTAGCTGTATTAAAAAATGAAATTTGTATCACATGCTCTAGTGGATGTGATAGCTGCAGAGCTCTTGATATTTCTATATAACTTCAGATTTATGTAAGAGTACTTCTTTATAAAAAATTATTAACTTTTTTCTGGAGTACTTTCAGTTGACTTCTGTGTTCCCAAACATTTTGGTCGAGTACTATGGCAGGCAAAAGCTTTATTGTTTTGTAGGGAATTCCAGATTTTAGATACACATTGCGTGATAAGTTGTTCAGATATTGTCATACCTTTTCCATATGTTTAGAAACTAGGGTGAGGGAGGCAGAGAACAGAAATTACAAGTAGGAAAAGTAGCACGGTCTTCATCTGCTGGGATGTACTATTAAACTTAAATTGGGGTTATCTGCTAAAAACTACGTTAGATCTGTTTTTGGATGTCTTCAAAATGGACTTAATTTTACCAAAGATGATGAGAACGTCAACTCGGAGAGATCATTTCTTATTTCGTGCCAGAGCAACCTCAGAAATTATTAGGCCCCCAAAAGAAGTTATAGCTCTCTTTCCACTTTGCTTCCTTATTCCAAACAAGGCATCGGAAATTACCTTCCTTTATCATTCCCTAGCTTCCAGACGTAGGACTAGGAGTCGAACTGATATGATTAGTATTTGGAATTCTATTTCATACGTGTTTTTGGTTTCATTATGCTAGTTTTTTGTTTACATCTTTTGTAAACTTTTTGTCTTTGTGGAGCTGAATATCTTAATTTTACTTCTTGACTTTGAAACTGATGTGCGTAATATTGAACCACTGTACTTTTATCTCATACGCAACCTAGGTTCTCTTGTTTCTTCTTTGTGTCTGTAGAAGGAATTCCNAAAAAAAATGCACTGATGGTTTGATGCGATCTGAGCACATTAGCAGCTCACTGAATCCCACGAGAATTAGGTTATATATGCTATCAAAGCGATCTTGTAATATGCGTTATTTGAGAGATCGATTTGGTTGTGAATAGGAGGATCTACAACAAGTCAAATAATTTGCTCACACTTGAGGTGAAAATGAGTCAGGGTTAAGAAGTTTGTCAATGAGAAATGGTGTTATGAAATTGATTTGACCTAATGCTCAAATCTTAGGTTAACAAGCATAAACTGCACATATTTATTTCTCTGAAGTAAGATTGTTATTTTTAGATACAATTGGAAACTATGAATTTTCTAAGCATATAAGTTCTCCTTAGGTCAATATATATCCTTAGATCCTTCACTATGCAAGTACCATGGCACTAGCTTTCATAAAATGGTAGCCTCCCTAAATATGCGATGTCTGTCTTCATTGAATTGCATATTCTAGGTAATCTTGGTTCAAAGACACCCTTTCGGTTTAGATCTTAAAACAAAATTCAGCTAAAATGTCAATGGAATCATTAAGAGATTGAATCCTTCTTTTGATTAAGATCAAACTCGCAGGCCGGTGAAAATCTGGCTTCAGCAGGACTACATCAAACATGGTTTAGGCCCTCACCACTCAATGGAGAAACTAGAATAGGAAGCTTGGTTCTCGGATGTTCCTCCCTATTCTTCTCTTTTCTCCCTTGAATCCTCTAAAAACTGATGTTCTCTTTTCCATTTCCACGTTCCTCAAGGGGGCAGAAAGTTCCCAAGAAATCTGAAGATTTTATATTATTGAAGTTGACAAAGTTGGTGCAAGTTGCAGAACTGCCTGGTGACTTTATTCTGCTTTGCCGCTGATACAGGGTCATTGAAGTGCTGCGAGAATTCTTCAGTGCTGTAGTGCTGAAGATAATACTTGTTTCTTGCTAGTTTCTTCCAACGCCACAGCAGCTAATCTTGTAGCGCCACGGCAGTGCACTCTTCTGCTTCTACTCTTCTTTCTCACTCAATCTTACTACCTTTCTTCTTTCCTCCATAATTAAATTTATTGAGTAATAGATTATCACAAACATTAGAAACCTAACTTTGATTGAGCATATCTTGGCACAATAACATCAAATACGATTTCATCCTATCCTGACACAAGCCTGGAGTTTTAGACATTGCATTCATTAAGTTATTTGTGTCATTTAGTGTGGAAATTATACTTCTGACCCATGTTTTTTAAATGGTGTGTTTACAAAGCAAATTAGTACACTAGCTGGCAATCAAATCCCGAGTTATTTTGTGTGGGAAGTTATTTTCACAATGGCTATAATCGGAATGGGACTCCTACTTTTTGCCCTCCTGATTGGAAATATGCAAAACTTTCTGCAGTCTCTAGATCGCAGGTAATTTTTTTTTTTTTTTACTATGCTAACTGAACTAGTTCAGTATTTGTGTATGCCAAGGAGGCCTATTTTTAAAGTAACATACTTGATGCTTGTGGATAATCATGATTGTTATTCTATTTTAGTCTATTCAGGGACCGCTAACAGTTAACTGAAGAGATTTATTGCGTGGGAGAGTTACTATAATATTCTGCAAACATGAGTTATACATAAGTATTTTGTAACTATTTCTCTCAACCGAACATGAAGCCATTGCCTCTTCTCAAGAAAAAAATTAGTTTTATGTGGGAAATTTGAAAAGTGAAATACCTGGAGGAACATTTTTGTATGACAAAACTATTTGGTCATGTAGAAATTTTGGGACATTGTTCACCAGCCTTATTGTATAACATGATAAAAGTTCTCTTACTTGGATGTAATTGTTCGATTCTTATTATCTCTTTGCATTGATTGTGCACCACTTTTTGTGCAACTGTCGATGAGTATTATGTTTTCTCTGCAGGAGGTTAGAAATGTCTCTGAGACGTCGTGACGTTGAACAATGGATGAGCCATAGGCGCTTGCCAGAAGAACTGAGAAGGTAGCCTTTAATGCTCTTTTTCCTTGACATCTAACTCTAAACTCTGCAGTTTTCTTCTCCTTTCCCTGGATTGAGTGCACGCCTGATCTGCTATTCATCATCATATCTCGCACGTATCGTCATACTTCATTTACTCTGGACCCCAGTCAAAGCTTGAAATTTTTGCTAGATGGAATNTTTGCTAGATGGAACTGTGTTTCTCGACTTTGCATTCCACAGACTAGGATATCACAGTTTAGGAATTATTAAGATTCTATTTATATTTAGCTCAATGTGGCCTTAAGTCCTGTATGTTTAGTTATGTGGGATGCAAGTACAGAGGAAGCTCAAATTAAGTATATTTCTGATTGATTGTTTGGATATAAATTTTAGTTTTATGAGATGTTACCTGGTTATTAGTTGTCTATATTTAACCAAGTTTATAGTCCTGAATAGTCCTGACTAATTTTTAGTTGTATCCTTTGGCAGTCACTCTTGCAAGTGGGTCTGAGAGTTGGGTGCCTAAATATTCTCTTTTATTTGTTTAATTAAATTAGAGTTGGATTTGAGAGTTGACATTTAAAGATCTTGATATCCTTGTGAGGGTTAAGGACTTAAAATTCCTTCCCCAGTTTATTTTGAACTGCACTTGCACACTTGTCTTGTTTTCCTTCAATTGTCCCGCATCAGAAGTGTTACACACCCATTGGAGTTCTCTATAATGTTATGTAACTCCAACTGTAATATTAGGGCGATATCTTAGATGGACCACAGTGAAACTTCCTTTTTATTGTTCTAGAAATATGGATGAGTCTGTCATGGTATTTCTTTTATTCAGGCAAATTAAAGCACCAGTAGTTTGATCAATGTTAATCCAAAATGATAAACTACCATGTGTCTTAGAAATGAGCTTTTAGTGAATCCATTCCCATTACTTGCTACAAGAAAACCTAAAAGCATGATCGTCTCCCCTGTAGGAGAGTTCGGGAGGCAGAGAGATATAATTGGGCCGCTACCAGAGGGGTCAATGAAGAAATGCTACTAGAGAACCTTCCTGAAGACCTTCTAAGAGATATACGGAGACATCTTTTTAACTTCATCAAAAAGGTGAATTCCAGCTGGACTATCATTTGGATCATTCATCTTCTCTTTATTCTGTTATTCCTCATGCTTTTCATAGACAAGCTCACTTGCAGTACATATATTGTGATTGGAACCATTGAGTTTAGCCAATCAAGGTCTGGATTCTGAAACATGTCATTTTTGTGTGAATTTTTGTTTAACCAGATTAATAGGAAAAAGGGGGCTTTCCTGGTTTGGGTTAGATTTAAGCTGTTTGCTTTTCTCAATGGCTCTTTATATTGAACGTATAATTTTTCATCATTACTTTCATATTATGTTATTGATTTGCAGGTTCGGATATTTGCACTTCTAGATGAACCCATCATAGATGCCATCTGTGAGAGATTAAGACAGAAAACATACATAGCAGGAAGCAAAGTTTTATACCGTGGTGGTCTGGTTGACAAAATGGTTTTCATAATTCGGGGTAAGATGGAAAGTATTGGAGAAGATGGAAACGTGGCCTCCTTGTCTGAAGGGGATGCCTGCGGGGAAGAACTCCTCACATGGTGCCTTGAGCACTCTTCGATAAACAGAGGTGATATAGATCTTTTGAAAATTGTCTTGTGAGTGCACCTTTGGCATATATGCATGATATAATGTTAGCTCTTTTTATTTTTGGTTATAAAATCGATTCATCAGCTTCGCTTGAACTCCACCATTTCTTGTTATCCAAATAGGTACTCTCCATATTATTCAAATTATCACTGAAAGCTCCTTTGACTCAGCTACCTTTTCTCTTCTTGAGGCTCAGCTACCCCCTTTTCCCCCTCAAGGCAAATACGGCATGAAATTTGAAAAAGAAATATAAAAGATATGCTTATCTATGCATGGATGAGTTGAACATGAAATAACCCCTACAAAGAGATGATGAATGGCGGAAAAGTGAAATGTACAAAAGGATGAAGGTATTATGTCAGGTAAATGCAGGCTAGACCTATGGAACAAGTCTGGAAGCTGTGATGAGTGAACTTAATATCAAGGAAGTATTGACGGAATTCTTATCTATTGACAATTATGGCTGAACTATTGCATCTTTTTCCCAGTAGAAGATTAACCTCTCAAGGTATGAATGGAAGTGTGGACTAGCATCCGAAGTACCATTTAGCTGCAACAACAACATACCCAATATTATCCCACACCGTGGGGTCTGGGGAGGGTAGTGTGTACGCAGACCTTACCCCTATCTTGTGAGGATAGATAGGTTGTTTCTAATAGAGCCTCGGCTCAGGAAATCATAAGCACCACATTAATGAAAATATAGGCACGAATGGACAGTACCAAAAAGCCATATAAAAGCAGAATAAAAACAACAAGATAGTAAGGTGATCAACAATGAAAGAAAACAACGGTTAGTCATAAAAACCTACTACCAATAGAAAGCGAAACT